CTGAGTGTTCTCATGGAGTTTACAGTAATTCGCTAATAATAAGTTACAGGGTGGCTGTAAGTGAGACAGTAGGTCACCGCGAAGCTACCTTCCTATCTAAATCAATTGGCCACAGGGTCCCTGAAAATATTTTGAGAAAACCATCTTCGAAACGGAAAACGATCGTTATGTGACAGACCTAATGTATCGAGCACATTTATAGTTTCTGAATCAATAAGAAGAAATCTTTACACAAACAGGGAAACGAAAAAAACTTGCCAGTAGGATATATGACCAGAAGTCGCTTGCACCATTGCACAAAGACCTCAGCTAAGGTCACCGGTAAGAACTTGCTAACACGATGACAGAACGAGCGGGACCCCGATCCACGGAGGAAGTCAAATATCAGCACGGACAAACGTGCTGGACCAAAGAAAGAAGACTACTGAATACAGAATGTTAGCAAGTCAACCAATCGATTGGAATAAAATCAGAACACAAAGAAGAAAGAAACGGACCAGCTACAACGAAGCAACTGAAATGAAATAAGCTGGATACGGTGAACTGGGAAAACAACGAAGCCCACATTCCACGCGTGAAATCAAGTCGCGTGAAAGACACCTCGCAGTCAACCAATCACTTTAGAGACCTCAGATACCATTTAGAAACTACAGAAGCACAGGTAGAAGAGGAATTTACTCACTTGACGCTGCTTTGATGATGTCAAATTGGTAGGTGCTGAAACCCCTGCAATCTGAATACAAACCCTGTTGCAAGAGCCAGAAACCTTGTCTAAAGACGTTATGTGAATGTTCATTTTGTGTTAAGTGTATATTATAGTATCCAAATGGAATTGGGAGGCCAGTCTTTTGCCTGAAAGATTCCACATCTATCAGAAGTGATTTGCATTATGTGAACGTTCATTTTTTGTTAAGTGTATATTATAGTATCCAAAAGGAATTGGGAGGCCAGTCTTTTGCCTGGAAGATTCCACATCTATCAGAAGTGATTTGCTTATCTTCATCCCACAACAAATCTTTAACCTAATAAAACCGATTAAGACTTTCCGCGAGCTTAACAGCCATCAGGACATTACAAACTAATTATAAAGTCGTATTCTAAAACCACAACCATTTGAACTGTCAATAAAACTCCCATCACCTGACCCCTGAGTCTTGCAGGATTATATAGAGCTGAGCTGTCAGGATTAACCTACGTATCAGATCATGTAATCAAGGAATACAAAACTGATTCCAACTGTAGAGACTGTTACGTACTTTTAGGTGTAAAATTCAAGCCGGGGATGTTGTCACGTGCTATGAAGGTTAAATCATCTCCAACTGTCATCTTTTTCCGTTTTTTGATTGTGTGAGAGTATTTGACATTTCAATGAAACTTTCAAGTGCAGTCAGTCTAAACTGGAAAGCCAAAAGAAAAGCATATGGCTGTCTAACCCCTCTTGAAATCACAAGCGATGTTCATACCGCTAAGTTTCAGCTTATAGCGCCCGCGTTAACCGATTCTAAAGGTCACATTCATCAGACAGAGACAAATAGAGGCTTGGGTGTAAATTTGGCATCAAACCCACTGGTTAATCCAAAAGAGACATGAAGGTGGTAGACTGTAGAATAACTTGCTGACTTGTTTTAAAATTAGCTAAAATACTAGCGAACACTGGGATATGAATCATAAACTGGCGTATAATAGCGCTCAAAATGAACACAACACATTTTTAGTCACCCCGGTAGGATCTTAAACACAGCGATTTGAAATAAAAAGCTTTTGATCGATCCAATAATTTGACCGTCTTCTGCTGTTCTTTTATGAAAATTCTTTTCTACTAATTCACAAGTAGAGCTTTTTCAGACTAAATTTACTCTATTTTTATTATAGGTGGATTATGCCGATGGGAAACATGATTAAATATAGCACGCGACAGACAAGAAGCCATCTAATCCAAATCTTCCGAAAATGAAAACTGCATCCAGAGACGCAGATATTGATCCCATCTGCGCTACTAAATGTCGATTCGCTCAGCCGAATTGAGACGATATGTAATAAAAATTTGCGTAATTATACAGGTTAATATTGGAAATTAGTCGGACAAAATGAAGCCAAGACCTACTATGCTTATTTCTAATGCGCACATTTCAAATTGGATTCAGCTGGCTGCTAAACAAAGATGTGTTGAAATGCAGTGGTTTACTTTATTGCTGGAGACGTAGTTGCCTAGGGTTTAATGTTCTTGAATCTCCCTACAACAACAAGTCAACATAGCACAAAACTACTAGGTAGGGTTCACAAGATAATTCTTGGAAAAACATCAAGCGCTTGTCTTATCGATGGATGTCTTCGTGATTCTATCTGTATGGATCAGTCATTGTGCGTCTTAAAAACTTGGATATTTGTCTTGCCATGTCATGTTGGTGATGGTGGTGGTACCTTTTTAAAAAAGACAGTGGATTACCAAAGCCAAGAGTGGAAACAAATCATCACACGGGAAAATAAATCCTAGCAACTACCACTAATCTTTTTTCATTATATTGGGCAGTGGATGGAGATTGTCAAGAAAATTACGGCCTCATTTCTTTTTCTTGACTCTCTCAACTCTCGTTTGTCACCTTTTAGTTGTTTTTTAATTCCAGCTTTCTTCCACTTGAGCTGAGTTGAGTTAAGACACAAATGTAAAACTGAGACACGATCGGCATGGGGTTACTGAATATGCGATCAAATGTAACAATATGAATACTTAACCTTGTGTTATCTTACTACAAATGTCCGCTTCCTCGAATTCACCATGAGTGGTAAAGATTTCTACGGGGTTGAGATATTCCCCCCTCGGTGCGTTTAGAGAATCTATCAGTACCAAGGCTGATCGATCTGGTGAAAATGTCCACAGCGTGTCATCATGTAATTTAGAAAATTCGAGAGGCAGCAAGAATCAGCACATAAACTTCGATTCAGCTAGAATGGTGAGAACCCTTATTGATGGTATCATCAGGCATCGTATTGACTCTCAGCTAACGGATAAAAAAGTTAAGTGTACCAAACAATCCAATAAAAGTTCGATTCGGCGATCGATTTGTCGCAATCTGAAGAAGACGTTAGCGTACCATATGCGTATACCCCAAACCTCGTGCAGTTGTGCAGCAGAATGATCTAGTCGAACACTGTCCGAGACAAGTTGTAGCTACAGGCACATGGATAAAGTTAAAATACTGAGCAAGTAGTTTGTAATAAATCTCTTGTTTAGTACACGAACAACTGCCCCTATTTTGATCAACCCTTCCCTCATTCGTTATTCTGTCGCGTGTATACACGTATCCAACTGTCTTCAGTCAATAAGGGTGATACTAAAAATGGAGTTTCAACGTGAATTATGACAGTTCCGTCTATACTGTCAACATTTTGGATAACAAGAATAGATAGGCTGTCGCGACGAGACAACAAGAGCTCCACTCACAAACGCCTCTGAATCAAAAGATACGGAAAACTACTTGTCGCATCACCACGCTGACAGCAGCATAAAATTGGTCACCAATGCAACTTAATTTTAGTGCCATACTGAGGAATATAGTCGCCTGGTTGTATATTTTAGAGTTTTCAGCCCCTATATCTCGACTAGACGCAATTCTCTTAAGTTACCCGTCTGGCATTTAGCGCAACCTACTCAACTATACAGATTTATGCAGCTCATGTCGCCAAAATTATTCACAAGAATACGTCAAGTAACGTTTTCCGTGGAGAATTATTGTTATCGCTGCAGAAAAAATGTTCTCAATGCCAGAATCATGAGTTTCCAAGGAGACACCAAAAAACCGCTGTTAAACTTTGCGTAAACCTCCCCTAGTTATGTTCTTCCAATATATATATCATCTCCACAAGTGCTAGCTAAGAACCGCACGCATTTTAAGAGTGTTTTGGAATCACTCAAAAAGCGGATCAGTGCCAATGAAGAACTTGGCAGGGAGTCTGTTTGCGTGCATCGCTATGCCGTGCAATAAGAAACATTCAAGAAACATCAAGACTTCAATAGAAATGCGGAGCGAATTTCGTTCTGTATACCGGAAATTTTATCGACTACAGAGGTCATGTACCTTCAGCGACTAGCAGCTTCTGCGTCGTAACGTAACGCACTGTAATTTTTCACATTCACTAATGCTCCTTAGTGTAAACAACAATCAGAATGAAAGCTGCAACCCAAAGTGCTAAAAACCGTTACCTCAGTTTAGTCTTCTCAGCATAAATCACTGATGCGCTTTTATAATTCGAACACCTCTCCAAAAATTTGTTTGGCATCTGTGGGTACATAGTTGTATTGATTGGCTAAATATGTGATGCTGACCGGCAAACTAGGATTTTGCTTTCCTTTCCTGCGATTCACTTAGTTTGTGTGGCTGGATTGTGGGTGTGTCTCAAGCACTCTACCATTTAAAAAAGAAAGCTGCTAATCTACTCCTCGGGTGTTGCTTGTAACCGTGTGCTACCGAATACTGATTCGATTCAGTGAAGACAGTAAACTGCAGGTGCATTCATTGACGGCGAAGCTCAATCAGGTCATCATTGGGTTGAGCAGTACGTATAAGTGTTCACTTCTTGCGGGTTTGACATTGCTTCACTGTGTGTTAGCTTTATCTCATAATAAAACGGACCAGATTGAAATGTCTTCTTACAAAACAGCCATAAATATATCGTTATATCTTGCTTGATTCTTTTAGTACTCTGGCGTTTTAACCAAATCCATAGGTTGCAAATCCCACGATTTGCGTAGTCAACATGTATTTCAACGTTCGCAGAAAGGTTTTCTGATTTTCTTCTGGTCTGATATTAGTCACCCACTTAGACACTGACGAAAGATGTAGACCTCCAGGTCGAATATGTTCGAACGGCTTAGCTTCTCAGAGGACATTCAACTGTACCAAACCTAATCATATGTAAATGGTCAGACAAAATAGATGTGCGTTTATTTATTTACATGTCCTGGATTAGTCATGTAATAACGGCAAGAACGTTGTACTTACTGATCCATAACGGGTATTTTTCAGGACAACCGAGGACTGTCGGCAGTTGAAGCGATTCGCTAACAAAATGGACAGAAACCTGCATGTTTTGCAAGAGATAGTGTAAACAACTTTCCTATTGGTTTAAAGCATGACCAATCACGGAGGAAAACATCCGGTCTTTCCGGAGATTGGCCGTCTGTTCACTCGAGCAATGCCAGCTGAGACCTCCCATGTGCTGTGAATCACAAGCTTGGAAAGTCCAACTTTCTGCTTAGCATTTACGACGCCATTCAAGCATGCGTTTGTATTCTAAAAATGTGATTTAGCGATAGATCTATCTGGAGAACTATCTTTGCGAAAGAACTAATTATTTTCAGAATAACTCCCATCTGACCAATACGCTCCTAATGCAATAACCTTTATTCTTAAGTGGAAATAGCAACAACAGGTAGTGGTCCACAGTGAAAGTATGGGATCATGATTGATCACATAATTTTCCTATAATGCAACATCTTGTACCACTTATGTAGCGTGAGAGCAATGACTAATCAAGATATTTTAAAGTCTTTTATTGAATCTGATGGAAGGCTGAGTTAGAAATAATTGAGAACTGTGGACGTATTCATTTACCTATGCTGAATATTAAGGCAGCGCCGGGAAGGCTCCAGAGAAGGCTCTGGGCAAATGAGGATTTTGCTTTTGTATGCGGGATGGAAGCCTTCCTTGCAGGCATCTATCACTTTATTCGGCACCGTAAGCTTACCACGTTTGATTTCCATGCTAGCTGCCTAATACGTGCCTTCAAATTCCTCCAGGAAAGTCTGAATACACCTGTACTTGAAAAGCCCGAGCCAGGGTTTCAGCTACCGAATCAGACAAAGGGTAACTTACCTTCGATTGCTAGGGTGTTATTTAGGAACCACAAACGGTGTTTATAGTCTATCGGAAATAAGAGTAAAAATCTTTGTGGAGTTTTTGAGAAAGTATGGATCCTCGAGCGTACTTCTGAATGAATGAACGCCATCAAACAGCTCAAGTAGTTCCCGCTCACCCTCTCATCAGATTGCGCGGCGACACTTTAAATATCTTTGATAACATATTGCTCATATATTTCTGGTGAGTTTATGGGAGGGCTCTCGGTTGATCACGTTAATCATGCCCTATTTTGAGATGATGCTTGAATATGTTTAACTTATTGCAAATGTGTAAGCGACTTGTTATTTTTCGTTTTTTTCGAAACATCGGGAATAAAGAATTCCCATCCTTCCCTCTTCTTTCCGCTCTTTCGATGTGCGTAAAGCTGGTATAGAAAATGAAGGAAGAATTAAAGAAAATTATTTCGGTAATTCTTTAACCTGAGGATAAATATTAATGGCCAGTTCATTTTAGTTCAATCACTTTCAGAAATTGTGAAGGGAAACATGGTGATAGTCGTCACCTTAAAGTCACTGGTTCTCGCTAAATTCCACGAAACGTGTATTACAAAAGCCAAGAAATGATCGTTCCATTCTGTTAAAAAACTGTGTTGCAATACTGAGTTGCACAATTTCCCCACTGAAATTAAGGTATCGAGTGAATGATAGTGTTCGACAATTTTTACTTCCGAGGAAAAGTAGGTAAACTGCTCCAATCTGGTCAGTTGTCGACTGCCAAAGACATTTTCCACGGCAGCTATGTATTCAGATATCTATTGCAATATTTTTTGGGTAAGTACATAAATTTATTCCATTCCTCCCCCGTTTTTTATACTGAAACGTACATATTCACCTGAATTATCACACCCTCTTCGTCTACCTTAGAAAAGCTGACGTTCAAAATACATACATGTGTAAAATTTTAAAATAAAACAGTCAATTTACGAGTTGGCTTTCTTGGTGGAAGGAGGCATAAAAATGGATTTAGTGAAAAGATTCTGTTTTACTTGTACTCTGTGCGTCCGAGAAGTTCAACGTGCAACAATGTTGGATCATATCACGCAAATAAATAACTTATTGTGAATATGGTTGAAATGTCCAAACAAAGCACGTGTGTGGTCCAGCGAAAATTTCCTCGGATTATTCCGCATTTGAGTTAAGCATCGTTCGTTGACGTTATTCTGTACAGATTGACTGATTATTCCGGCGTCTAAATTTTTCCGTGGGGTTACAATTCTTTGGAACTCCCTGGTTGCTTAGATCATATATCACTGAAACCATGAAAAATCAGTGACGAAGGAACATCCATTGTCAGCAAAGAATATCCTCGATTTGATATTTATGTCGGGCATAGATCGACTTATTTGTTAAAAAATTGTTTGGGAAGATTTTATTGGATATCCATACGGTAGTGGAGCTTTTCACTTGTTCGATAACCGTGTTTGTTTAATCGCTAAAACATAAATGAAGGTCAAAAATAACAACCTGGGTGATTTTCGAATGCTTGCATCGTCATAAGGTACTAAAATTTGGTACTGCCTTTTAGCAGCTGCAAGAGTCGGAAACAGCCAGAACCACTACAAACAGCGAATTTAAGGGGATATATGAGAAAGGAACAAAATCGTGAATGATTTTTGAGCCAAGAGTTCAGACAGAAATGCAAGACATTACAAACTCCTGGTTTAGAAAGCTAACAGAAAAGAAAGCTACTACTTAAGCATCGATGCTTATTTATCTGAATAACGGAGAGTGATTGGGACAAATATACCCTGACTTTGAGCATTCAGGAATAGAATGAATTAGAATTCGAAATATTGTTATTGGAACGATCATTAACGATAAATCACGAGGGCTGATCAGAGGAACATGGTGTAGACAGACAAAACTAATGATCAACTACCAATGGCGGATAGCACTATAACAGAAGCTTGCTGGTCCAAATCTATACTCTCATACTGCTACCGGAGCGATCCCAATAACTGGTGACAGGGATGATCTATGCAAAGCCTAATTCCGCGTTGGTCAGGCTTCCAAAGACTACATTTGAAAACGTGGAAAACGGATAATGAGCCGATCATGGTAGTGTATCACAGACCAGTTAGACAGGAAGAAGTGCTGTGCTGAGAATTCTCACGCCCGTCAATGTTTGATATAATCAAGTGTGGGTGTTAACGATTTTGAAATGAAGCATTCCAAATAGTCCATATCATGAATAATTCAATGGGCTTTGCACTAGCTTTTGAACCATTCATTTCTTTTCCTTTGACCGTAACAGCGGATTGCTTACGTTCTTGTAACTCCACAAATCTACATTTTACCAAAATTAGGTTTGCACGAACGAACACTGACAAGATAAATGGACCACAGAACCAACAGCAATCATCAACTTTCGCCCTTAGATATAAACCGAATCGCTGAATGTCAAAACTGAAAATGTCAATACGGAATGGATTTGCATGTGAATTGGGACGTCAGGACTACAGGAAGAATGGGTAGGAAGTACCAAGCCTAAGTATTCGACTGACTGTTTTATTACTTTGTTTTATGCACATGTCGACCTCAGTTTCTGTAAAAACCTCGGATACTGCGTGAATCTACACTGTACCTATTAGCCTTCTTGCGCGTGTGCATGAGGTTTCAGTTTGCTTCCGTTTAGCCATCTGTTGTCTTGTGACATTACTGTAATAAAGAATAACACAGGCTGCTTAATTCAGGCTGGCATTTATGACATTTAGAGATTCCTAACTCCATTTTCAAAAATGGGTATCTTTCGAGTGTGATTATTTTTTGTTCGTACGTTTAGGTTTTACTTTTTACTTCAGTTCCTTAAATCCAGATAAGATCCATGTAACCTTATCTGAGTTAGACCCGAAACAATCTAATGGATGTTTATCACAAGCGAGGTTTTGTTTCTCCGTAACAAGTTTCTCTGTAACAACCAGTACAGTGTTCTATGCGTCAACTAAAGAAAGCGCAAATCAAAACCGGTAATGTACTCAAGGCAAAGAACCTAAGAAGGGCGTCAATTTCCCTCAACAAAACAGATACCGGGAATACCTCACGGTTTTTTAATCCATGGAACTTTGATTTGAAAACTCTGTGGATCTGTTTAATACAAAGTCCACTTTCGACAAATCATTTGTGTAATAATTTTGGAAGTAGTTATTGACGGGTTAAGAAATTTTAAAAGAATTTCACAGCTTTGACTAGTAAATGAAAAAATTTGGGACGGATAGACAGTAGAGTAGGCTACCCACACAATGTGGCCCCATCATTTTTGTCTCACAAAGCAACTCACCTGTGTTTATTAGAATCTTTTCATGTGCTACAAAGTATCATTAAAAGTGGATAAACTTAGGGTCAAAGTAAATAAACTAAAGAAGTAGATAAGGTAAATAACCAGAAAAGACGCAGAACCGCCGATAATCTCAGGTATTCAAAAATCGGGACAATGTAATAGAGGAGGCTTAGTACAGCGTGTCTAATAATGATGGTTTTACCGAGCGCTTCCTGATGCTGGATGTTTGGTTTGGCATCACCAAAAAAAACGTCCATCAAATAATTCCTACGAGATTCAGTTAAAGTCTTCAGCAACAAAAAAATGAAGGAACTTGGAGGAAGAAAATCCGAAAACAGAATATCAAACTGTCAATTGTCTAAAACGACTTAAAAAATGTGCAAATGTATTTTAAGGTTGGCTGCGACAACGAGGCTGTCTGAAATAGAATAGCCGAAACTACAGATAATCATAATTCTGACTTAGGTTTGAGAATTTGCTGTAGAAGTTTTCACACTTATAAGTCGCTCCCATCTTTTGACGCTCTGAGGATGAATGCAGGAGCTTTTTTGACAGTATGTTTATTGCGGCACTAACCAAGGAACAAGTGCTTTGTCCCTGAAATGAATGCGAACAACAGCTTTCCGACGAAAGTATCCGCACGTTAGCGAAGAGATGCTGAGCAGTTTTCTAACTATTTTTCACTCCAGGTTATAACTGCACAAATATCGCTACTGGGTGGTTGCTTTGATCCTTAACTCTAACAGTCTGTAGGTCAAACACAATAATAGTGAATGCCTGCTGCCACTAGGACTGTGGCTGTCACCAGATACTGGTCATCTGGTTACCGATATAATTCGTGGCAGGCTA